AAACACAATTTATCATGTTTTTTTTTTGTTAGTAATTTCCCAACTGCATAATTTTTATCTTTTCCAATTTTTTCACATTTTAAGCATTTTTTAATCGAATCTGAATAAACAAAGTGATGAATATTTTATTTTATGTGTTTATTTACACTCACAGGCACAATTAACCGCCCACTTACTATTTTTTTTCAATTCACAGAAATCACCAAACTTAGACCATATTTTATGAAAGGAATGTTAAAAACTATACTTAAAAAAAAGAAACAATAATTTATTAAACATAATAGAAACAATAAAAGGCTCCTTACCAAATATTGATTTTTTGAAAATCTTCAATGAAAATTTTAAAATTTTGCTTTTGAAAATAATGGGACAATTAAAAGAAAAAATAAAAATTAATAGTGGGTGTTGGGATATTGTGCGACTTCTCTACTGTACCCGTTTTTAGCTCCCCTATAGTTGTAGGGACTCTTGCTCGGACGTCTTTTAAGGTTGTCCCAAATGTACTTTATTGGGTTAAGATTGGGACTTCGTTCGGGCCATGGTAAAACTTGAATCCCGACCTCATTAAGGTACTCACTGACGGATCTTGCGGTATAGCAACGTGCGTTGTCATCCATTAATCTGAAGTAGTCACCAATGAACAGAGCGAAAGGTATGATGTGGTCTTGAAGAACTTCTTCCACGTATCTTTGAGCGTTTACACTTCTTCTATCGAACACAACAAGATCGGTACGAGCCTCAGAAGAGATACCTACCCATATCATATTGGATCCTACCTGGTAACTGTTTCAATTTTAGCGCATGGCGCAAATCTCGCGCAAAACCAAGTCTAGCTCAATGGTGCTGTGGGACCAGTTGCGCAGCGCGAGCTGAACGAAAAGCCCTCGAATTACTTTCTGCTAGTGTTCTTCTAATGGTACATTCACTGACACTGAAATTTCTCAAAAAGACGGAAAGAAGAATTTCTATCGAAAGTTGAATAACCTCGAGCTCCAAATTTTGTACGATTGTTTTGCTTTCATTTGCTATAATTTTTTTTTAAATAAGGTTATAAGAGTAATTAAGCTTTAGCAATGAAACTCTTTGTTATTAATGAAAAAAGCTTTAAAATCAACTTTGTTTGTCCCATCGCAGAGTGCCAGGGACAAAGTGGATTTTTAAGCATTTTTCATTAAGATAGGGTCTTGGTTTAAAAAAATACAGTTTTTTTTATTCAACTCATCAAAAATTTATTGGGTGGAAACACAGCAAGCAAATTTATTTATTAAAATTTTTGAATAATTTTCCCGTCTAATTTAATACTATTTATTTTATTGAGATAGATATGTAAGTACTTTAACAAATATCAAGAAAATGTATATGTTCTTATGACCCGGCATTACTTCTTTTAACACATAAAAATTGTTAAGCATAATTATCGATTGGTCGAATGTTTTCTATGTCTCATTGCTATAGATTTGACGTGGTAGATTCTTTTGGAAAATAAATGCTTTAGCAAAACTAAAAAATCATATAATTAAATTATCTTAATAAAAATTCAACAACCAAGAAGAAAGGAATAGCAAGATTAACTTTAAATTTCAAAATCACAATGATTTCGTCTTCGTGATTGCCGCTACTGAATTTGCAGATTGACGGCGGACGTTGAGCCAGGCGTTATGTTAATTCATACGGTGGTATTTAATATTATTTAATAGAATGACCACAACACGCAACTTATTTGCAAGTGTCAAATGTTCCATTTTTAAAATCGATCAATCATTTATATTTCGAATCATATAAATATATTTCTAAATAAAACCGATACATATTTATTAACTTTGATTTTTACTTAGACTGATTAATATCATTTATCTATAAATCTATAAAATTTTAAATACGTATTTGCGAAGAAACACATAAACAAACCTGAATCGTTTCAAAAAACTCATAAAACTTAACCCATTCCCTCAATCTTGAATATATTGAGTAAGTATCAAGTCGCCTTTTCATTCGAAACAACTCGCTACTTAGCTCCTCACTCAAAAAGTGAGGAGCTTAATGAGTTGGTTCAAAATTGAAAAATGAGTAATCCCTCATTTTGTCGAAATGAGGAACTCAAACGAGGCACCTCGCGAGTGAGGGGCTCATCGCTACTTATCAGTCTAACTAAAGACAGTGTGTGGAATGTCTCATTATAAAAAAAAACAAAATTTTCTTACTAACTACCGAATTGTGTAGTAAAAGGTTGTAAAAACCAATCCTCAAACAATAAAAAGCAGGATGGAATCATATTTCACACATAAGTATTGGAGAAAACTTACATTTTCAATAATTTAAAAATTAAATTTAAGTAATTGCTTGGAACACAAAACCTCAGCCAAATATTACCATCGTTAAACGTTATTATTTACCCCGAAATCAGGTAACTATAATTTTATAACGCGTTATTTCTAACAAAACACAAATTACGTTATGTATTTTTTTCTTGTTGTATGGAAATGATATTTAATAAATTTTGCATTTGAAATGCTACATAGAGGTCCATATCACAGATAATACAAATACAGATATAGAATAAGGAAGTAAAAAATAAAAAAGGGTGTAATTCTTTACTTCTTTATTATACTAAATTATACTAAACGGGCTTGCATACATTTTACATTTCCAAACCAACATTAAAATGTGAAAGAGAAGTGGATTTCAGTCACTGCTAATAGTCGAAATGAACCTTCATGGAATCCAACTTCGCGCAGCGTAGTTTGTTCGACTCATTTTAAGTGCGATGATATGTATTATACTATAAAAGGGTTACGTCGAATAAAACAAAACTTATGTCCAAAGGTTTCAAACTTTCTATATATTAAAATTTTAGTTAATATAGTGGAAGTTTTCAAATTAAACTTAAATATTAATTTTATAGTCTCTCTAATGTATGGCCTCGAATAATAATTACCTACTCTTAAAAATTTTAGAATATCTATGCTGATATTTATTTAGCTTACAAACGAATTTACATTATATTATTAAATAGCATAGCGTTAACGTTAACTCTATAACGTCGTAACGTTAAGTTATTGGGGTGTTTTTAATGACTATGGTCACACTGGCACGCACACTGCAATTGCTAAAAATCGGCTTCACTTTGTTATTCAGCAGACTCCGTGTTTACTTTTTATTTGGTCTGAGAGTTCGAGTTATGCAAACGCAACTCGATTAATACAAAGTAATCTTTGAATAAATTTCTTTTTTATTTGTATAGAGGAAAATGGAAGCTAACATAATGCAAATAAGCACAGAGGTTTTATTTAAATTTATGGAAATCAATTGTATTAATGCTGTGATATAATTAAAAGTGGCATTTAGCTACGGTATACAATAATATTACCGCCAAATAGTTTTTATAAATAAAATACTTGTGCCAAAGTAGGCCTAGGAATTTTTCATAATAATATTTAACAAAAGTTTTGAAAACAATAACAACTAGGTAAGTTAGTTTTATTGTTATTAGTTGTTTGTTGAACTTACAACAAAAAACTACATCAAGTCTCAATAATATTTTTATATTATGCATCTGATTAAAGCTTAAAGGCTGATTGCAGATAGATATAAAAAAAAATGTATGGTGAATGAATGAATAGGGTTTAATATCAGTAACAAAAGTCATAAAAAAGATAATTATGATAAAATACGTTTATAATCTATATACTTACCCGATATGTATCAAATATACTAGGTATTCGTACAAAATAATAACTGCATGTGCTTTTTTATTTTTACTTCCTACGCAACCTACTCTAGAAATCAGTTTTATTAAAATATATTATTTACTAAGTACTCTGCGGTGGTGTCGTGTGCGTTAGGTTATTACGTTCCCTCAAATATAGTATAGTTAAAATTAAAAAAAGCAGTCCTTGCTGAGTTTCTTGCCGATTCTTGTCAGTACAAGATCTCCCACTTTAGTTTTGCGAACCATTGTCAAATTTGCGACTTTCACAAGTACTATATAACAGCCTAGACTGAATTGATTTTGATATTTATATTATTCGTTTTGTGGATGCATAATGACACATACAAATACAAACTGAAATCTGCACTCCGTTTTCTGTTCTTCATTCCAAACCTGAATTCGGACGAAAGTTACGAGCAACCAATAAGTTGGATCATCACTAATGTTGACGTATAAACCAAACATCGTTCCTTTACACGTAACACAATAAACAAATTAAACTTACGATTAAAATAAATTAAAATTAATTTGAAACTAAGATATTATAAGAAACACAGAACGATGTCATTTTTATTAATTTTAGATACTCAATTTATTTTTATTACGTCAGAAACAAAATTTTGAATGAATGTCATAAACAAAATCCAAACATCGCGAGTGACATCTAGTATGATTTCAAGAACTAATTTTTTATTTTTTAAATACTTTCTCATCGAAGTTACGAGTAATCAATAAGTTGGTTTATCATCACTAATGTTGACATATAAATAAAACATCGTTCATTTACATGTAACACAATAAATAAGTTACATTTACGATTCAAATATACTCGTGTTAAAATTAATTTGAAAGTAAGCTATTATAAAAAACGAAACGATGTCATATTTATTACTTTTCGATACACAATTCACTTTCATCACGTCAAAAATACTATAGACAAATATCCGAAAATTGGTAGTGACATCTAGTTTGATTTCTAGAGCTTATTTTTATTTTATAAATATGTCCTCATTGTAATGTTTAGGAGTTATAATTCCTGATATAAGTACTAAGTCCATGTATAAATCATATAATTTGTGTTGCCATCTAGTGTAGTTTTTCTTTTTTCAATATAGTAAAGCACATTCTTTATTATAAACAAACAAAACCTACCGAGTCGATATCAGAGTGCTAAATGGGTATATAATAGACAATATCGTTTTTCAATCTGTTTGTTTTGAGATGTCTCGAGAACGATCTGGGTTAAAAAATCGTTACATAAAATCGATTATCGCTTTAATCAAAACGAGATCGGAATCCTGGTCTGAGAACTCTTTTCAATTTTTGCGGAAAAGCTTGAAGCAAGCGTTTTCGTTGGAGGCGTACGTTGTAAAACTGAATATTGTGATATGTATTATTAATAACGTGTTATTATTGCTATAAAATAATCACGTTTGTTTAATTGCTTAGGGCAACGCTATAAATAAAATTTATCCCTTTTCTGACAGTTCAATCTCGCATCCAACTGAAGTTGCAGGTTATACTACCTTTATCATTTTGATTTTTGTACTATTTTTGGCTCTGAATTGATTAGTAATGGAAAGTATGGACGTTGCACAAGAAGGCACGTCGGCTGCATCCACGCCGATTGTTGAAAATGGTAAGTTGATTGTAATAGCTAAGCTTTCAAAATGCCGAAAACGTGTTTCCTTTGTAATGAGACTAAAATTCTTCAGGGCCCGACAAAAATGTTGCGGCGGAAGAAATGACTTCGAGAGATTATTATTTTGACTCTTACGCCCATTTTGGTATACACGAGGAGATGCTAAAAGATGAAGTACGTACTCTGACATACAGAAACGCTATGTACCACAACAAGCATTTATTCAAAGGCAAGGTTGGTAACTTCAGTTTGTTTTTTATATATAGTTTGTTTTATGTAATATAACTTTGGTTTATCCTTGTTCTCCAAATTGTCATGCCCATAGAACTTTTTTACATTTCAGACAGTCCTGGATATAGGATGTGGGACTGGTATTCTGTCAATGTTTGCGGCAAAGGCAGGTGCAGCTAAAGTAATTGCAGTGGAATGTTCTAATATAGTGGACTATGCTCGTAAGATCATAGAAGCTAACCGACTGGATGATGTCATTGAAATTGTAAAAGGGAAAGTAAGTGTCATTATTGATTACAAAGATATTGTTTAAACACAAAACTCACCTACATTCTCTGCAGGTTTCTGTAGAACATCGCTATGTTATCAATACTAATGCATGTGATATGTATTGTTAATATGGATATACATTTTTTTTGAAGGTGGAAGAAGTAGAATTACCTGTTGAGAAGGTTGATATTATTATCTCTGAATGGATGGGATACTGCCTGTTTTATGAGAGTATGCTAGATACAGTACTATATGCTCGTGACAAGTGGCTCAAGTCAGATGGCATGCTTTTCCCTGACAGGTAAAAACATGAAATTCAGTTTATTTAGCTTTTACATCCTAATGCATAGACTAGTATTCAGTGAAGTTATTTCTTCATGAATTTTGTCACCCATTATAAAGAATATGTAAAGGGTAACACAATGCATAATGTAAGCCTAGTTCTTAACCACAAAACCAAAATTAATCTTTAGATCAGAACAACTGTTTTATAAATTTTTCTTTTGTATTAATTGACTAACACTCAGTTGCACAAATGTCAATTAAAATTTCCTTACTTTAAAGTGACATTACCTATTAAAATTTGACATTCATTAGAGCTTAAAGGCGACATTAAACATTAATAGAAAGGTTATTAATACAAAAGAAAAAACCATATTACCATACCATATTTTTTTTATATTGGTGTTGGTTTTGATAAATAAACAAATAGCACAACTGTATAAAATGTCTTTAAATATTTAATTCACAATGTTTGTTATTACTTTATACTTGAATATAATAATCGTAGGTCAATAGGTTAGACCTTTTGTTTATCAAAAATTTGTTCACACAACTAAGCTATAATTAATTTTCAATTAAATTTGTATGTTGAAGCAAAAATTTTTTATGTGGAATTATGTACATATATAATAATATGTGTTTTGCTTAATTTTTAGATGCACATTGTTTATTTGTGGCATTGAAGATCGTCAGTACAAGGATGAGAAAATCAATTGGTGGGACGATGTTTATGGTTTTGACATGTCATCTATTAGGAAGGTTGCTATCTCTGAGCCCCTTGTTGATGTTGTGGATGCAAAACAAGTATGTGATCTTTTTGTTATTATTTTAATATGAATTAACTTATTAACTTTGTAATAACATGTCTATTTTACTATTGTTAAAAATATTTCATCTTCACATTATTGAGATATGTTATATTGAATAGAATATATGCAACAACATATTTCCTTTCACAGGTGGTCACAAATTCGTGTCTGTTGAAGGAAATTGATTTGTATACTGTCAAAAAAGAGGATCTCAACTTCGAGTCTAAGTTCCATCTACAGGTAATTTCTAAGAACTTATTACATCAGTCTAAGCATTATTTCTTTTCACACAGTAAAATGTATGTGTTTTATTTGTAATTAATGAGAGAGATCTCATCACAAATGCCAAAATTACTTATATAACTTAGAAATTAGTACTTAATACAGTCAGTTAATACAGCTGAGTCTTTTAAACTATATGGGACTTTTTAAGAATTTGATGAAAATACTCTTATTTCCTTACCATCCGTAAGGAAGGCCTGAGCCCCTGCAGTGGGGATATAACAGTGCTGCTGATGATGATGATGATGATGATGACTCTTATTTTTAGTGAAAAATAAGAAGGGCTTGAAAAAATCATCAGTCCTGTTGGGTTTCGGGTAGCTCAATAATTAGAGCAGTTGCCTGGATTGCAAAAAGTTGTGACTTTGAGCCCCATCTCAGCCTGTGCCTAGGGTTGCTGGATTATTTAAGCGGTTTTCATTGAAAATATCAGTATAGCATTTTTGCCATGCAATTCTTTATTCTCTGTACCTATTTTAATTTTTGCAATGCGTAGCAATGACATAGACAGGAAAAATCTTTTGACTTACTTATTCCTGAATAAAATATTCAAAAATACCAATATCTGTTTTCTCTTTAGAATCTGTTTATGATTTAGATGTCTTCTACAGGTACGCCGCAATGATTTCATCCAGGCCTTAGTTACGTTCTTTAATGTGGAGTTTACGAAATCTCACAAGCGACTTGGATTCAGCACAGCACCTGAAGCGCCATACACACACTGGAAGCAAACAGTGTTCTACTTCGATGAGTACATGACGGTAAGTGCAATAAATCTATATGTTGTGTGTAATGTGAGTGTGAAAGACTGCTAAAGTAGTTTAAGTTAACTTTTTGATGTTCCTTAATTCTGAACACAGAGGAGTCCTAGATAGTAATTTTGCAAAGTTTATAAATTATACATACCCAAAACTTACACAGTAACATTATGTAGGTCTTTTAATTAACTGTATTTGGGAATATTATTTTAAAACTTCAATGGGTAAATTTCTAAATATAAAAATTGTAATTTAATTCTATCATTCTATCATTGATGATCGAAACTAAACAATTTATTTCTTATCAAGTTCTTGTTAAATTTTGTTTGTTTTGCCACATGTTTAAATATATAATCACGCACTGACGCCATAGAAAAATTGACATAACAAAGTTATCTTTTCTACTAGGTGAAGAAAGGCGAGGAGATAACGGGCACTTTCTCTATGAGACAAAACGCCCGCAACAACCGCGATCTTGACTTCGAAGTTGAGATCGATTTCAAAGGTGAACTCTGTCAAGTTCTGGAGAAGAACCATTATCGAATGCGCTGAGCGTTCGTCATTCTCGCAGAGCCTACGTATATACCCCTTGATACTTTACTGTTAACGCTAAATCCTAATATGTAATAACATTTTTATCACTACTTCCCGCTATGGTTTAACATTTGCAAGTGAACAGGCTTTCATTGGTCCACTTGTATTCCAAAAGTTATGTCTATTGTAGTCGGTATATGTAAAATCAACGTAATTATAATATAGACGATTGTGCAGTGCCTAAGCAGTTAGTGACCAACTAAATTATTAAAAATATTGAATTGTCAGCAAAATCAAATGTTTACAATGGAATTATAGTTGTGTTTAGTATGTTAAGTAAGGAATGCAATATGATGTTTTTCATGAACAATTCAGTCCTACAATCATATTAACATAAAGGTTTTGATGGAAGATTATCAATTTTTTATTTTCAATATTTTTTATGCTGAGATTTTTGTATCTATGAGAAAGATGCCACATTTAAGTTGTATTACAGTAAAAATAATTTTATGTTTCAATATTCGGCTGCTAACTAATTCAGTGTCTCTGTAGCCTGTTTATATGCGGTGTTGTTTCTTTTAAGAAATTGGCACATTAAGTATTATAGTATCACCTTAAGTTTTTAATGATAGTTTTCATATAACGAATATGTAAACGTTAACTAAATGTATCAAGATGGTGGTTGCTGTGTTATTATTATTAAGTAAAACTTAGGATTTGAGCTCACTTTTCCTTTTCTGAATTGCGGAAGGTAATTTTTTAAATGCTGATTATAGGATGGATGACCAAAATACGCTTTTACATATAAGGCTGGGCGTAAAGACAAAAGAAATATAAGACTAAATCCACGCGTCCGTCAATGCGATAAATAGATACAGAAGATGATGCGTATAGTGCGTTAAAATTTAAAACTCTCGAGCAGATATTAGTTTCTTTTAATTGATCTTAATAATTTTAAAAGTTAAAAATCCACGTTTCAATCGCGGTAAAACTTAGAAATATGATATAACTAGCTTTCGCCAGCGGCTTCGCCCGCGTGGACCCTAGGAAAATGTTAAGTGGGATAAAAAGTATCCTATTATCTAAGTTAGGTACCCTATCTGTATACCAAATTTCATCAAAATCCGTTCAGTCGTTTCGGCGTGATTGATCGACAAACATCCAAACATCTAAACATCCAAACAAAGAAACTTTCACATTTTCTCATTCTTCATTTATTTTTATATACAACCATTCGAAGTTTTGATGGTTTTTGGTCTACGTTTCGTTATCTAACGCGGTATTTCGGTATCTAACGCGTATTTGCCTCGCCTCATGTAACATACAGGGTGTTTAATATAAACCAATGGCATTCATGTAAATTAGTTGGTGGTGGTCGCTACATTTTTCCAGTGATAGACTATTATTCTCTTCTATATTCGGCCATCTCCACTCGCGATGTCTATTAAAAATACGAACTTACCATTTGTTTGAATTAAGAACTTTGTAGTATAGCGATTATGAAAAGTGAGCTCAGAAAAAATTTCATGTACGTTTAAGATTCTCATGTTTGTATGAAACCGCCTATCGATACTTCCTCGTTTTTTTATAGAAACGGGCAATGCTAGTTTTCCCACTGTTCATAATTTTGAACCTTGTGCTATGAGTAAGTGTAATTTTTTTAATAAGAAGCAATATTTTTCTATAGACCCAAACTTGATCCTGGTACAAATACATTTTCGTATGAATCGGCAATGTGTCTTTTATAAAACAACGGAAATGATTTCAATAATAAATTTGTAAATCGTAAAGGTAATCTTTTTAATAAAAAGACCTGGTAATAATATTTCCTTTTTAACCGCATCTTTGTGCGTCCCTTTCCAGTGCTTTGTACTGAAACATGTGTAAGAATTATAATAGATTTTAATTATAAAGAAATAGGTAAATAAATTGTTCGAATGCCAATGACAAGTAGTTACTTAGTGACAGTATCATTCGTTTTTCTACTGCGTAGCGTGAGACGAGTGTATGGTATTAGTACTATAAGTATTTGAGGTGCATAAATGAGTCAAACATAAATAGTCATTGTTTTATTTATATTTTCTAATACAATCCCTATGATACTATTTTTGCATCTACATGCTCTACTTATTCTAACACTCTTATTAATAGTCGAGAGAAGTAATTAATTGAGAAAATGTCATTACATTACTTAGGGAAATATTTTTAACCTAAATAAAGACAAGAATTCGAATTAAGGATTGTAAATTGCTAATAGTGATAGTATTAATAGTTCTTTCTTCCTTCATTCAAATTCTTGTAAAAATATCTGCTTAAGTTATGACATATTCTCAAGTAATTTACTTCTGTCGGTCATAGATAGGAAGGTAAGACCCTGTTCAGAACTACGCGTGACAGAAGCTGACAAGTGTTTATGAAGAAGAAGTGGCAAATAAACTATTGCAGCACTGAAGTTGACATTGCGTCTGTATTCTCCCTTTCTGGACAAGCAGACCCGGATCTAGAGGAGGGCAAGTGGGGGCACTTGCCCCGGGCGCCAGTGTGAGGGAGGCGACAAAATCATATAAAAAATAACAATTTTAGGAAAAAGAGAACGAGTTTTACAAATATCTCATACATATAAAATGTCATTCACTGAAAAATATATTAAGTTTCAAGATCAGGGGTTGGGGAAGGGGCGCCATACGAATTATTTGTTCTGGTTAGAAAAAATCGTAGATCTGGGCCTGTGGACAGTCTAAATGTTACTATATAATTAAGATCTAAGTTAACAATATTATCTTATAGCAAGCATTACACCCATTGATATATCAGTCTGTGTGAAGCTATAACACGACGGTCGTAACCATATTTCACACGAAGTTAAACCAGCTAAAGCAGCGTTTCCCAACTTTATCTGGTCCACGAATGTCCACGGACCCTTAGGAAATCAATGGGCTACTTTAAGAAAAGGAAGCAATTATTTTAGACCACTTATCTATTACAAAAAATCGTTTTAAATGTTTCGAAGTGTCGACTTCCATAACAAAAAAAAATGTTAAAATTTTTATTATATCAAAGTAAATTAGTAATATTTGAGTCACATTACTATTGAGGTGTAATTCCGTCGGAGCTATTCGCCGTGGCAATCGCTGAACTAGTATTCAAGACTTACATTACAGATTTTGTTTCTAATAACATGAACGCTCGAACATTATGTTGCTTATTTCGTTTCAGTAATTACACGACCATATAAATAACGGAATCACGTTTTACACATATTATTTACGTTCTAAGACAATGTTTTTATAAATGAGAGATGTCCAGGTACTTAATGATATGTTGTTCAGTTCCACGAACCGTGAACAATAAATTTAAGGTGAATTATAGATAAAAATAACAAAAATATTAGTTTTCTGATATGTCATAATTCAAATGAAATATTTCAGCATTCGTTAACTACAATTCTTGTTTACGTTTAAAATTATTAATGCTTGATATTAAGTTACATTGAGTATACCTATAGACGAGTATTTTATTGTTTATCTATCGTCTACTCTTCGTCTAGCGTATCGTTGGTAATCTTCTCTTGATGGTATTGGAATAATTCTGATTATGCGGCTACTGGAAGTGGTGTCGGAACGCCGTTGTTCTTGTATAAGTCCACACAGCAGCAGTTCGAAATTAGCTGGTACTCTTGGCACGAATTGGCGTAGAGGAATCCGCAGCTGGACTTCCGACAAGAAACAGGTAAATCTGAAACGGTTAGAATAGTTATTTAAGATACGAGTGCGGAAAGTAAGGTTTTACGAATAAGGGCCAAATTGAAAACACGAGCGTAGCGAGGGTTTTTATTGGCACGAATTCGAAAAACCTTTTACGCTCAAGTTTCTTACAAGATTTTTCAATGCTTTTTGCGAGGAAATAAAACAAATATATAGGTTAATAAAACTAACAATAAGTATGTATTAAAGGTAAAAATTATTTGTTAAAATTAAACGTGATATTTGAACATGTTTTCGTGTCATACATTTTTATTTGAAAATATTCGTTCTAGGCTCCTTGAAATACTTTTTGCCTCTAAAGTTTGACATATTTACATCAATTTTTTTTTAATTTCTTTGGTGCTCGGCCAAAAAAAAATAAATAAAAAAATACTTTTTTAACACCTTTGCTCGTAAAGCTGATGTAATTCCACCGGTTTTAAATATGTAAAGCGGGTCATAAAAAATGCGTGTGTTACCAAAGCAAATAGTTAAGTTATAGTCCATACAAATTCCATAACAGTATTTTTGCCATTTCGCGCGCTGTTGCTATTCAAATTTCAAACTAATCGCCGTGCGGCGCCAGTCAGTAGGCAGCGCTAGCGCGCTGTTAAAATGGCGGGAAGTTGGCGGGAAGCAACAGTGTACATTCACAGATTGAGTTTATTTAATGCTTTTTTTTCTGTTTCCTCGCAAATGTGTTAAAAAACGTCGTATGATATACGTGCGTATTGGTTATAACATGCTCGACTCAAATACGCCCTCGCCTTCGGCTCGGGCTGAAATTCCGCCTCGCATGTTATAACCATCATAACGCACTAATATCGTAATGTACTATTAAGCACGTGTGCAGTAAAGGATTTCAGTACATTTTTATTTAACAAGTGTTTAAAGACTCACTTTCGGTGTTTACAATGGATTAAAAAAAAAAAAGCTTTATGAGCAACTGCATTGAAAAAGATTTTATAAGGTAACTGTGTTGTATAAAAGACAAAGGTCTAAGTTCTAATACGACATTTTGATAAATTAATAATATATGTAGGTACTATAAAAACTCCTACCCTAGATACCCTTTAAAATTTTGCGTATAGAATCACAGTGATGCTATTTATTAAATGTTTATTTAGAAAATACTCACATGCAGGATTATCACAACAGCATGCGTCATGTGCTTGCTTATGAGAGCAATAGCTGTATACAGAGGAGTCACACAATGGACATCCGGGATGAGCGCCAGGTGGTCCCACGACTCCTGGATTGCTCGGGTAATGGCCCCCTGGGTATTGCCCGCCAGGGTACTGACCGCCGTACCCTCCGCCCGGGTAATATCCAGGTCCAGAGGGGTAGTGCTGTCCGTAGGAACCGGCTAATAAAAAGTCCAGGAAGTCTCTTATTCCGAAACCTGTAGATCGTTTGTGAAATGACAATGATGGTTAGTAGATGTTCGGTGAGATGAATTAGACCCAATTGTGATTTGCAGCGCATGCAGCTGTGCACGATGCCATCAGCAGGCCTATTCGCTAACTCAAAGTAATCAACGTAACAGCTTAAAGTCGTAATCAACGTAAAAGGTGAACAATTCTAATGTGTCAAAATCAATCATTCCTATGACCGCTTGCCCACAGAGCTCTGTGAACAGTTTATTTCGGTTGCCTTCAGAGTTACAGAATAAGAGGGCAATGCCTTCGGAGACCGTCTTTTGTTTTATAAATATTACTTTTACAAGCTAACAATTATCAGTTATTGTTTTTAAAATAGCTACATTATTCAATTTTAGTGTGGAGTTTAAATAAAATAATAATCAGTATTAAATCTGTTTTTTTCTTCGAATAAAGTTAAGAGTTTACATTTATTTGTCACAATATTTTTATTATGTAACTTTCTATGACGTAATATAATAAAAACTTACATTATTTATCGCGGTTTATATTTAAACAACAATTAAATGTTAATTATGACTTTATCTATGTGAAATCATTGAGCGTGTACAGTTTTTAGTAGAATATATGTGTTTAATGACTATTGAAGTCATATTGTCCGCGAAGTGATTTTGGTAATTATGTACAAAACAATTTAATTTTGAACACTTGGAAGACTGCCTTGACCTTGTTACGTGCTTATTTTCCTTGTTTGGTTCAAGAGGAGTAATTAGTTAATATTCTATTTCTTTGCCTACATTATAGTTGGTAATTGTGTACTTATAATAGTTTGTAGTTACCCTTACTTAAATGTTGTTTTACATTTATTAGCTGATGCATTCAAAGCTTACATATTTATTAATGGTATTACATTTTTTTCTTTTTTTGTTAACAGTATCGCCTAAAAGAGACTGGAAATATCAACGTGCTTATTTCTACATGAAACCAACCAAACTATCTTTGTATAGAATTGCGCGATGTAGGTCGTGAATCAAGTACCTACTTTTTCGTCAATTTTCGTACTTAGGCACGTGCCTAGTTTTACGTATGGATAATCTCCCTCTTCCAGATATAAGTTATAAATATGTATTGTAATATGTAAACCTTGCGGTGCATAAGCGATGCTAAATATGCAACAGTTGCTATAGATGTATAGTTGATCCTGGGTGTTGGATATTGATGGTCTCTAATAGATATTCCTATTTTGTTTGTAACAAGTACAAGAAAAGAACTGTTTCTTTAGGACGGCGGATATGTTCTATAGATACCGAAGATAGGTACTATCTCCTTTAGCGAATAATAAGTTCAAGCTTTTAGCATATTAATCACTCAAGAAAGAGAAGAGCGCAATTAACAGTTTGATCACTGATTACATTAAGTTTATTATTTCTAAAAGAAGATATCCAATGTCTTCTCATATAAGTACTCGTACATTATCTATTTTATTTTGTAAAATTAAAATATGGAAAAGAATGAAAATCTATTGTTTTTGGTGCTCGACTTTCTCAATTTGGCATAGTATACGAGTATTTACCAAAATAAATTAAAATGAGTATAAACCACTGAATTCAAAATTAATGTAAATTTGAATAATGGCTACTTAAGTTAGAGTGTAAGTATAAAAAAAAGAAAATATTTCGTGGACCTGCATAATGTTATTTCAAGTTCGAAAAACCATAATTCAATGACCCGATTTCATTATGTTTATGTTGTTGCTTTTTAGGAAGGTTTTATGTAGTTATTAAATGTTTTGATATTACCTACTGATATTTGATATGCTGTTTAAAAGGAATATTCATTTGGGAAATATTGATCTGTTTAATTCAATAAAAAAAGTGCTGCCCATTACCCTTGTTGCAGTTCTATACTAATTTTAAAGATTCGAAATATTTAAGTACCCTAATGGTAGTAGTAGTGGATGAATTCGTTCATTGGAACCGGCGAAGGAATTTAGCCATACTACCAAATCTTGGGTTGGTACTATAATGGTTATGACACTTAAAATATTTTTGTTTAATCAAATTAAAAACTAATTCAACGCAAGTTGAGTACGTTATGGTGAAATAAAAATAAAAAAATTAGAACTTTGGTTGACAACCTCAGACACTGTATTGTTTTAAATAGTAAAGAAAAAAAGTTTAATCATGAAAAATTTGCTGTTATGTTTTGAAGCAATTTTAGTAAAATCACATTAATTAATTTATTGTTTAATAGGATAGTGACAAGAGAAGTAAGATTCATGAAGGTAATGATTAAATGAGGATTATGTTTATTTTTGTTTAAATTTAAAAATTATTAATTAAGTAAATAAGTGTATCACATCTCATTGTGGTTTGACTGATCAGAATCATGCAAAATAGGTTGACCTTTACCAAGGCATATATTATTTCGATAGCCTCTCCTAGGCAAGTAATGTTTTATAGACTAAAATGACAGAGGACAGTTTAAATGTATATGGAATTAACTGAAAAATATCGACAAATACTTGCCTACCAAAGGCTAACCATAAACCAGACAGGCGGTATTTTTAAATGTCCATTCCATCCATTTTTGTGTATGAGATTTGTGATATGTTTATGATGGAGATAATTTGATTTTAAACTATACCGTTCGACGGGCCGGTGCCGAGTCTGTTTCTGCTAATATCGTAATTTGTGAGCTCAACACCTGATCGGGAATCAGAAAATACATTAACAATGTTGTAATGAAAATAAAAATGAGCTGTCTAAAAATCCTTGCCGTTATAAAATAATACGTTTCAATCGCAGTCCTGGTGCGACCGCCCAACTCTCGAGCCATATAATATGATATCTCAGCGATGTTATGGCGACACTAAAATTTATTTTACTACTTTGGCATGTTTTTTTTGGTGGATAAAGGATTAAATAGTAACATTGCTGCCAAATCCATCGTCATTATTATCATTCGTTTGTCGTTTAAGTAAACGTTAAAATAATAAAACGAGATGAAAAAATGTTACCATTAAATCGATCGTTCAGATGTCATATCCTATGGCTAGTCATAGTTAGACAGTGGCATGGTCGCACACTTGGATGCATTATCGACTTTGGTAGCGATCGCACAGTCCACTTACCGAGCTGATAAATTTAATCGCTAGGAAACTAACGAATGTCGAAAACTTAACAGTTGAACTCCGTTCGCGACTAACAAACACAGAAACATTTATTTGTAGGTGTTGACCATAATTGTTAAGTTAGCGACGGAATTCGGTTAAATAGCGATCGCAAACTTCGTCGAGACTGCATGTCCTGCGGTCGACAGGCCAGTAACAACACGGACTGCAATTACAATATATTCTAGTTGATTTTTAACCACTAGATCTTGTAAAAACAGTATATCTTAGGAAGCAAGTTAACACATTTAAGTTATTTCTGAAATGATATGAATATGCAATAAATTAGCACCTCGTTGAATTTAATAATTATACTTATAATCCTTATATCGGATGATATTCTTTCTCTCTTTAGATGATAGGTTATTATCTCTCTCTTGATGATAGGTTAAAGTAGTTCAAAATATGCAAGTCTATTCAATGACAATGATAATTACTTGAATGTTTCTTATTTTTCACAGAAATCATTCGTCGAAAATTTATTAAATTACGAAACCACACTTATACTTTTGAAAAAGTACCTATTATCTTTAGATTTACACATCATTTCAGAATGAAAGTTATACATATTATGAGCTTATTCTTTATAAGATTAATATATAGAGTTTAAAGATTCTGTTTTTTTTGTGATAATTAATTGACCAATGAGGCTTTGCACTTCAATTTTTATAAAAACTTAACAAATAACGGGGCGTTTTTAAAATTGATAATTTTAAGTCATTGTAATCTTCAAATATTAAAATTCTGTGGATGTAATTTAAAAAAATATTGGTCTGAATAAGAAACTCTTAGGATTTATTGAAGCTTTTATATTAAATAATATGGTATTTATAAATTCATAATTTTTGTAATTTGAGAATACAAAATTATTTTAGCATTACATTAAAATAAAGTCGATATTTTCCTGATGCAACGTGCAAAAAATTTAAGAAAATTAATTTATTAAAATGTAAATTAAAATGCTTAGAAAACTTACAGTGACCGACAGCTACTGTTGTAGCGAGAACTAATAAAAGTGTCTTCATTTTCAATATACAATAACACTATCACAATATCCGTCTGCTTGTCCCGATGTGTTGGTCTTCGAATGGGCGACCTGTGCAGTTGACGATTAGTGTATACCGATGAAAATAAGTTACAAGGTTTAGTTTATAGGTGGACTTACCGGTAACATCGCGTAGAAAAGCTGTAATGTTGTCATGCTTTCTTTATTTTGATAAAGAACTTATATCTTTAATTGATTTTATATTAGTGTATGTAGTCTAGGAAAATATGTAAGTGTTTTAAGTTCTACTCTAATTACTTGTAGTTCAGCCGATTATATTCGAACTTATTCCTCCTTCCTTTAACTTCAAAATAGCGCAAAATTTACATAACAACAGGTACCTAATTCTACACAATTCGTTCATTTCCAATGCTGTCAAAATACCATTAATAACAAACAAACAAGTGAATTTCAATTACGTTTATTAAATTTATTTAGTATGGTGTGTGCAAAAATAAAGAATAATACTTTCGAGAAAAATGTATATGTTTTAATTTAAGAATATATGACTCTAAAACAAATATAATCATAAACAATTTTGTCATTTAACTATACCTACATCTAATGAAAATATGTATTAATCCAAGGGCCAGTGCAGTTGTCCTTAAACTCCTAGTTCTAGACTGGTTCTGACCGTTCTCCAGTGATTACCGACGGAAATAGGTACTTATCGTATATGATATAACCACTATGACTTGCTAATATCCTTTAGAATATGATATAGCACTAAATATCCTATTTTCAAGAACGTTACCATTCAGTGACTTTAAATTATTTGAATAAGTAGTTCTGAATAGTTAAATGCCTGGATTAAGATAATTTTGATAACTAGAGACCTATGTACGACCAAATGACGAATTTTAATATGTATTCTTTTTTTGTGATTTTACATTTGGTTCGTATTTTATTCTCCCTATTCGATTCGAGTCGATTCCATCCATAGGTAAGGCATAGGTAAGGCTGATCCATAGGTAAGGTAAGGCTAAGCCCCAACAGTGAGGACGTTAAAGGCTGGTGATAACATCAATTCATATTACATTTTATGGTCCTCTATAGTAGATACCTAGCAGTCTAACCTGACTTCTTTATCGTGTCGCTTTTAAAGGAGCGGTGATGGCCATGCTGAGGCAACATCATCATTGGTGGCCAATGTGCTTTTCTTCACTAATTGTTGCCATTTTTATCTTTTTTCTTGCCATGCTATGCCATGTGTTCTTGTTCCTTCTACTCTTTTCTTGACTCCTTTCTATGGATCTTACATAACCTTACATACATTATAAAAAACAAAAACTTACTCATTCTGTACCGATCGTTTTGAGTGATTTTCAAAATAATTCGTGATACATTAGTTTCTTAAAAAACTCTAAAAGTTTTACTTCTCACGAGATTATTTCAGTAAATTATGTACCTACTTATAAGACAATTTGCATGACACAGATAAAAACGGCTAATGAATACCCTATTATAAATGACAAAGCATTTTAGAAAATTTAAGTTACAGTATTAAATACCGCAATAAAAATAAACTACCTACTCTATTAAAACTAAATAGACTAACATCATAAAATTGTATTTTGAAGGTTAGAGAGGGCGCAAAGATAAAAGACTGTCTCTATCTCACTACCCATAGAAATGAGATAGATAAACTGTTTTCAATCTATTACGATTATTGTAAAAATGTTTCATAATTCCTTCGATTACAAATTGATTAAAATATTTATAAATTTTCTCTTTAAACCATATGGGTTTAAGTTTTATCTCTGTCGGGAAAATCTTATAATTCACAAATTGCCAGTAGTTTTAAATTTTTTAACTACTGCTTATTTTATTGTTTTTTCAAGTACAAGATCGGTTGCAAGTTGTTAATTTTCGGTCTAAACGTTTAATAAATTTAAAAAAAAGCCGGGTTTAGATTATTTCGTGGTGATTATACCAAAATCTAAGTCACTACAATGAACACATTTAATTTACGATTACGGATTTCATCTTCATATTCATTATATGCAAATAAACAAATTGTATGCAGTATTGTGTGTGATATGCATCTTTGATATAGCACATTCATTTAATCAAATGTAAACCTGTATTTTTTTATTTTATGTATTCGTGTAATCTCCTTCCACGAGGTATAGGTATATTTGAGTTGTATCTAAACAATTGGCATTTAGTACGGAAATTCCCACCGAGTTGTTGTTTTTGTCAGAAATTTACCTACATAAAGTTATTAACAAATATGTAGTCTTGATATTAACAAAATTAATATCAAATATCGTGAATTGCATCATGCTCTGTCCTACTATTCAGTTTGAAAATACGATAAACGATGAGATTGTTCACCTCATTTAGAATGTAGATTTTAATGGTATAGAAATTATTTTGTTGCCCTATAGCTGTTTACGGTCTTTTGTACAGCCACAAAAAAAGTGTAAACAAATTAAAATGAATTTAACGAACATTGTGATCATGAGTTTTGTCGTTGATTATCCTGACCAATGCCTATAGCTTCCACATATCAGCACGACAAATAAAAAGATTAACAGATACTGCTCAAAGAACCCCGCAACGTAAGTTTTGTTTTGTTTTAATTATGTTCTATTTGCGGGTTCGCCGGGGTCTAACGTATGCGGCTGTGGTGCGATGACCCCTTGTACCGTTTGTAAACCAGTCCATCTAGTCATCATTTCGCGACATTATCTCTATAGATGACAGGTGATCAAATTCATATGTGATCGGTTATGATTAATTTGTGCGACCTGTTATATCTTAGTTGATTGATGCGAGATAAAATCTGTTGGGATATACGGTTTTGGTTTTTAGGGTTGTTTTTAGATTGAAGTGTTAAACTTCTGCACGCGTTATTCTTAGTGTAGAGCTATTGTGTTTGCTTAGGGATTTCTAAGTGACTGTTTTAAAGTATAATAAAATTCGAATGTACACCAGGGTTTTCCTTGCAGGAGATGTCTTATATACTTAATTATATTTGTAACAGTGAAGTAAACCGGCTATGCTACTTTGTTAAAAACTGCCTCGAACTTGACGTCTAGGACAATCCTGTTACAGCATTGACTTTCAATAAAACATTCATGTCTTTTTGCAGTAGGCTTTATTTGATTAAACTTTTATACTATGACGGCGCAGCGGTCGACGTCGAATTCGAGGTTTTTATAATAGATTAGCACTGCAGAAGTATAAGATACACTTAATTATTCGAATTTCAGAAGACTTGGACACCAAACAAGCACGCTAGAGCTTCGTCGCAAAGCTTTAGCAATAAAGTATCTATTGAAAGAACATTTGAGAATGTTTCTAATTATCTAATATTTCTTTCAATTTTTTACATCCCGTTAATAGAATTAGAGTTGAAGAGCTCGATGGCGTAGTAGAGCGCGTTTGCGATACGGTTGTTAAGCAACTTTCGCAAAGGTCTGTCATAGGATGGGTGACAAAAAGTTAATTATCTCGAGCTCCTCGCAGTCTCAGAAAGCACGTTTAATCGTTGGTCCCGGTGCCTGCGTCGTGGGTCATACTTAGTCAATTCTCCCTATACGATTCGATTCCTCCAAAGAAAGGCTTTTACCTCAGCAGTGAGAATAATTTGATGGTGTTGAAGACTGCACGCGGAACTAATCCGTGGGTAAATGATTGAAAACTAGAACATCCAAGGACACTATAAAAATCACCACATAGAGGAATATGAAATTACTAACAATTCGAATCAGGACTAACTTTCAGAGTACAATTTCTGTCAGAAGAAATCTTAGAAATTCTTTATTAAAAATTAAAATATATATTTTGGATTATTCGCCTTCCAATTATTTTTACAAATATTTATAATAATTTATTTCTCTTCCACACTTAGATTTAAGTTAAAATTGAGAGAAAAAAAAATCAATTTTAGAGTTGCCACTCCAAGTAGTGGGAGACTGGAAGCTGACACTGGGCTTAGTAGTATACTAAGCTCTTAATTTTTTAATACCAGCCTCCCCCTCGAAGAACACCGTAACTTTTTACGAGTACAAATATTACTTATGTGTGTGTGTGTGTGTGTGTGTGTGTGTGTGTGTGTGTGTGTGTGTGTGTGTGTGTGAGTGTGTGTGAGTGTGTGTGCTTGAGCGAGTGTTACTCTCTAGTTGTAAATATAAGTAAATAATAATTTTAAGAATTTCAGGACACACAATACTTATATTCTTAATTTAAGGTATATATTCAGCCACTGAAGCAGAGCGCCTTTACAGTCATTATTATTTTTTGTAAATATGCAAAATATCACCACCACCACCACCAGCCCTTTTACGTCCCCACTGCAGGGGCTCAGGCCTTCCTTATGGATGGTTAAGGAGGATGGGCCTTGATCCTCCACGCTGGCCCAATGCGGATTGGAGGATATTAACGACTGCAAATGCAGCCGGGACCAACGGCTTAACGTGCCTTCCGAAGCACGGAGTAGTTCGAGATAATAATTTTTGGTCACCCATCCCGTGACCGACCCTTGCGAAAGTTGCTTAACGACTACGATCGCAGGCCGCGGCGCTTATCCACTACGCCACCGAGCTACTCATATCAAAATAAAAAATAAAAAAAACATATTTATTTAATTACATAGAAACGTGGTCGTTGAAAGTAATAGAATTTTCCAATAAGTTTCAAGACTTGGGAGCTTGCATACGGCTGGTTGCCTTCTACTAACTTTTATTGAAGTAAAGATACCTACAGAGAAAATTAGAGTAATTTTGTTGATGTCTATGGAAGTGGAATAACCACAGATGTAGAACAAATGAGCATTGTAATAAATAATTAGTACTGCCCTGCGATTCTGTAAAAATGCAAACCCGAACTCGAATTCACTCAGATGTTCGAACTCACTTCAAAAAGCGTCATCCGCTCAATGTTGTATTGGTAATAACGTTTCGTGGCATAAGTGAGGTGAGTTTCGAAATAAAATAGGAATAGAATATCTGAGACAAATATAATCAATCAATTTTGTTTTCTATTTTTATCCAAAAAATGGAATCTATAGATTTTTTTCACTAAATGACGTGAATTCGGAAACATGAGTGAATACGAATTCGGGTTCGGATTTTTACAGAATAGCCCTGTTGCAGAGAGATTCCATAAAAATCCGAACCCAAATTCGAATTTACTCAAGTGACGAATTCACTTCGGAAGCGACTTCCGCTTAACCTTGAATTGGTATTAAAGTTTTGTGGTATAAGCGGAATGAGCTTCAAAATGACATAGGGATCTGGTACACATTTATACAAAAAGGGAATCAATAAAAATTTTATACTAATATAAGTTAAGCAGATTCGCTTATAAAGAGAATTCGGTTCCGAAGTGAATTCGAATTCAGGTTCGGATTATTACGGAATCGCTTTGCTGTACTCATCGCTTTACACAGTTTACGTAACCGGGACCTCAGAGGTCACTACAGAAGAAGAGAGAGGAGATGGGAATAAATTAAACACATAATGTACTTTAATTATTTAAAGCTCTAAATGCAGTAATTGAAATATATATTTCACATATAAAAATAATTATCTGTCATAAACTGTACGTTTAAATCGGTAGTAGTTGATATTCAAACCATAAGAATGAAATTTTAATGAAATGACAAACAGTAATAACTAGCTTTTAGTTGTTTTAATTTCTAGATAAAGTATTTTAACAACACTATGTCATAGTTAATTGTTATTTTTAATTCCTAATACAAAACAGTTACAAAACAAATACGGCAAATAATGAATAAGGACACTGTTAAGTTTTAATTTTAAAAGATCTAAAGCTCTCACTCATATGCATTAACCAAGTTATCACTCCTTGAGTCAAATTTTTTAATATGACAATAAACTTAAATGTTTTCAAACGTAATTATATCGAAATTAAAAAATATGTTTAATCCTTTATAAATAAATCGGTGAATAATTTAACTATCATTATTATAATAATCGTGTATTTAAGGTTTAGTTGAAAAAACTGCCAATTAAATATACCTTACTTTCGAATTTAATATTTAAACATTTATTGCTTTAAGATTTATTGCCAATCGATAACAGAAAATGTCACAACCAAATAATATTCATGTTTTTTTCAAATAAGATATATGTACATAATATAAAAGAATATTAAATGGTTTAGAATCGCGATTAGCATAAATTGATATCGAGAAAAATGTTCCGACTTAGGTTCTGAAATTATTACAGGTAATACAACCACTCGAAAATTTGATTCACAAATGAATTACAAAATTATAATAGGTTGGTATCGTATTAATACATAGTATAAATTTTACGTCAGAGCGCTTCTGTATTTCTTTGTGATTCCTGGCGTTTGGATTGCCAAAGAGTGAAACGGATTTTAACGCGATTTTAGCAGTTGGATAAGTTTACCAACCATCTGAAGCTAGATAGAGTAGTAAAATTCAAAAGCGCAAAATATAGCCGTAAAATTCATGCTTATTTAATCTCCTATATTTTATGTACAGATAAACCACTGCAGAGACATGATAACAGAGTAGACATTAGTAGTAACAGTTAATATTTTTCTAATATTGTCAAAAGTCCAATTATAAGGCATTATCTATGTGATTTTTACAGTCAAATTACATTTCACTATCAGCATTGAAAATTGTGATTCGATTGCTTACTTCATAAAGTTCAGTAAAAACTTGAACTGGCATCTGTTGAAATATCAAATGATTCGTTAACCATAGTAATATCACTAAAGCATTATTCATATCTTCAGATGCAAAACTTAACTTTCATCCACCTTAACGTGGTAAACACGACTCATAATATACGGTACATAGTTCTTTCACTAATACTACCAACTACTAATAATATGTAGCTGTGATGGAAAGGTAGAATCGATGATTTTAATAAAAACTTTGCCTCCACGTAACGTGCGCCATGTTACAATCTGGACAATGCTATTTACATGTCGTATTATCTATTCTTAGAAGCTATTCTAACTTAATGTAGGGTTCAAGTTTCATCGCTCTCATGATATCGCCAGTGACAGAACAGCGGCCCGCCTGCATGATGACACGGGGGTCTTCTTTACCCAACACCAGTTGTTTGAAGTAATGTTCTGTCAACGTGAATGTGGTATCAGGATCTTGTTCCGGTTCACCTTCGTACACTCGTACGTTGTCTAAGTCCATAGCTGAAACAATTATTTTTCTATTTGAATGGCGCTGAATGAGTTAACACGTGTTTTTTTATAGGGAATATATTTTTACATTTAAGAATTTGCTCTAATCGATTGTAAAAATAAAAGGCAAATTCGTTTATTTTTCAGTGGTTTTATAATTAGGGTGTCAGTAAAACACAAACAGATTTGTTTTTTAAATTTATTCAGTTATTTCAATAGTTATAAAATCAGTCAAGCTGTGCGAAAAATGAACTAGTTGTAATAATTATGGAGTCGGTAGTTCGATAAATCAGCTCGGTAGTTCACCCACAGTTCGCGGTAACATTTGAAGTTCTTTCATAATAAAGAGCGGCAGCCTTAGGTCAGTGTTTGAAAACCAACCAAATTAGTTTTTTTTTTATGCTACTAAAAATAAAAAACAACGTTACACTTTCCATAAAAAGATATATACAAATACTCATTTGCTTGTCCATGCGTTTAAATTATGAGTTTATAAACACCACCAATGTTCTATTTTGGCCACGTGGTGAGGAATAGCAAATTTAGAGTTTTTTAACTCATAATCCAAGGGAAAATTACGGGAAAACGAAACGTTGATAGAAAGCGATATTCTTGGCTTAAGAACTTGTATTTGAATGAAGGATTGATTTGGATTGAATACTACATCCCAGTTGCGAAGTGTCTCACAAGTAAAGATAACCATGATGCTGTCAATATTCGATAGCAGTTGCACATCAAGAAGCAGAAGGTTCAAAGTTAAGAAATAGAACATAATAGCTTAGAAATAGGAAAATAAAATTTTATATGACCTTAATTTGTAATATTTTTGTGATTCGTTATGCAGATCATAACGTTTACGTATGAGGTATAAATGTATCTAAATTGAGGTTATGATATTATGTATAAAATTGTATGAAACTTTCAACTTTCTATTTTATTATTTATTCTCAAATAAGGCTATATAATGCTTTATGACAAAAAGTATAGTTCAGACAAATAAACGAAGAAAATAAAATGAAGTCGTATAAAAATTATATAATACAGGTAGGAAACTAATGTCGCGATTGTAAATCTGTGCAATAATTTATATATTGAATTTAAAGTTAGAATTAGAATGTATTTCAGAAACTTAGTGTTAGTTTACTCAAGAAGGTTAGAATATATAATAATTTTATATTAACTTATTGTGCAAATGCTTAGTTTTATTGTAATGATGTGTAAACTTTATAATTCATATCCTGCTCAGCGCAAACCGGTATCCTGTTTTGCGCCGGAAATTGTTTGGGCGATAATCACTTGAAAATAACGTTCCGTCTATGTTTTATTTTGACAATTACCACTAAATGAAACGTTGTTTTAGAATTTTCCAAACGATTAGCAAATTCTAAAAACAACGTTTCATTTGGTAGTTTTATTGTTAAGTTGATTATTGTAATGGCAAAAAACATTTGGATTATTTATCATTCGTAAAATCTTTCACTAGACCGCAAACTATTAGACGGATAAAGTTTCGTCAGTATTAGTTCCCTTTCCTTTGCTTTAAGTACATTGTTATAATGCAAAGAAAATCACGAATATTTACATACATTTTTAATATAAGAATTTCAACAATAACCTTAAGCTTAAAAATTGTCAGCAATGTACACACAGAAACAACATAATATAACATCAGTGAAATAAACAACTTAATGAAAATACGCTGACTGAAACATTTTGCTACTTTAATGTTGGCATTTTGAAAAATGTCATTATAAAAAGCAGACCAAATGTACAGTTGCCAATAGTCAGGTTGGGAAATAAAATTATATAATAAGTTAGCAATTGATAATTCGGCATGTGAGAAATCGGCCAAACAATTGTCGGCGAAAAAACAGACCACGCTCCGCTCAAACAACGCACGTATATATTTTAAATATGTAAATAGATACTATTTTATTAATTTATAGATGATGAAGAACTTTTGCAGGATTTTTTAATCCCAATATTTATTAAGTAATACTAATCCGACCAATTATTATGTATCAAGTTGAAATCAAACCGATTTTATTTGCAAAAAGTGAGTCATGTCATTTGTAAATGGTGTCATCAAAAATGCAGTCCTAACTCATCTATCAAACAAATGAATGAATAAACTTAAATAAAACTGAGGTTGAACCATAAATAGAGATTGAGCAATCATTTATCTCTTCTTCCAGAAAATAAAAAATTAGTTTTGCGCTTCACTTCAAATAACAGATGGGTCAATTTAAAGATTTGAATAATATTTATAATAGGTAGCCTGGATTTTAGGCAAGATAAATTTTACTGTTCACAGTATTTGAAAATTCGTGAAAAAGTGATATCTCCCAATACCCTTATCATTTCCAGCGATGAATATTTTGGACTTGATCATGGTTCAAACACAAACGTAATTTCTATGTCTCTATGTTCGAAAACACTCGTCACAGAAATTTTCACAGGAATCTTCTATTTATACAACTGATAAAAATAAAAAAAAATGAGAGATAAGACAATCTACGTTGATATGTAATAAGAATAAATTACTACTTACTCCAACTGTATACAGAAGTGCCTTTCATAATGTTGAAGAGGAAGACGCCTCCTAGTTCCTTTGCAATCTTAGGGTCTGTGGCAGCCACTCGTGCTTTTATCCTGGACACCAAATCTAGCTTGCCGGTCGGCGTCTGTACATGCTCGCTTTGAGATGCACCCTTTGAAATAATGTGATTTTGGTTATGTTAACACAAAATTGGAAGAAAGAAGTTTGTATACGTAAGGGTGTTGTTTTTAATTGCCTAATTAGCAGTAAATGACGATAAAAAAGAATAGTATGAATGTATTTCTTTTTAACGACATGGTAAAAGAAAATAAATGCTTAAGAGCTAGGGGAAAGTGCAAGTTGACTAAAATACCGGTTAAGAGCGAAAAATATTTGCGTATTTTGAATTTAAACAATATACTTTACTTTTTATCCAAAACGTCTTTCCTGTGTTTTCTTAAATAATTTCAATCATAAATATTTTGAAATTGTTGAGAAACTACATGGGTATTAGAAATTAAATATACATATAAACACTTTCATTGACATTGTAAAATTTTGTAATTTCAATTTAGCTTTCGAATTTCTTCTTTGGGTCACTGATTAAAGTATTCCAAAATTTTATCTTAATCGACCTAGTAATGTTGGAGGAAATCAGCTATGGCCTATGACAGACTGATGGACGAACAGACATATAGGAATAGACAGGTGATCTTATAAGGCTGCCTTAAAAGAAAAACTTTTTGGGGTAAAAGGAAAAATAATTAAAAAAAAAAATTTTTTTAATTATAAATATGCTTCACAATGTTGATAGTTATATTGCCTTTCCTATAAATGGAATCGAATCAAATGGAGAGAATCAAATAGGTTGTATTTGGGTTAAGTAAAATTAAAAAAATTGGTTAGTAATAAAATTCTTTATGTATGGAATCGCTTTTGTGATTGTTTTCTATAGTCTTTAATTGTTTTAAGCAAGTGACATAACGCGTTATGTAAATACCGTAACTTTAATATCTCTTAAAACAATTTTGTTTGTGAAGTAAGATTGATGTAACCAGAGAGTAAATATATATTTAAAACTGATTCTAAATAAATAACATGGGAAACTTTAAAACTAAATAAACAAAAGAATTATATATTCTTTTACTCACCATGTTAGCCGTGTGACAGGTACCGTTAACACACACGCAATAAGTTTGGACTCGGGAGGCTGCGGCATCCGACTTTCACTTGCCGATTGCAAAACTTTAACTCTTGCGTTCAGTAGAGTCACCATATAAGGTATAGGTCAATGGACATTGAAAAAATTTCAATATTTTTTCAAAAATATCTAAACAATCATAGAATCGCTATGAGAAATTATCAAATTGATTGTTTGACACTGTTGCTTCTTACTTTTAATTATATGTAAATCTTAAAGAGTTTTTAAAGGCTATTGAAGGTATTCCATCGATATATAGGTAAATATATTAATCCAAACATTTTTCCTATTGAGTTAGGTATTTACCATTAAACAGTACAATGTTTGAAATATTCTATAAAGCTATTAGTAAGTGCTTTATTATGTTATTGTGTGGTCACCCTGCAAGCGCATCGCGCTTGTGTCGCTGCTTAATTTCACTTTTTTTAAGATCGCTGTCGGTCGCGAGTTAGTGCGTAACTGTTATTCTTTTTCATTACTTGCCCACTCAGTATAATTATAGTCTATTCAATTAATTACATTATAGAGATTAATAACGCAACTTTTTGTTTCTTGTTAGAAACGAATAGAGTGAAAGATAGATATGATCACAACATAGAAGCACATAGAAGTGAAGGAAATAATGAGATAGACAGATAAATATAATGTATTTTCTGTAAGGTTTAGGAGCAAAAACGGCCATTATGTATTTTTTAATAGAATTCGTGATTTTAATATTTCTGTAGTGTTTGCATAGATTGGAAGCTAAAACTGGGAACGTTGTGGACGTTGTGCTATGATAAAAAAATTGATTAAAATACAATATCTTTTAGTCTAGGCCAGGGGTCGCCAACAGACGGACCGCGGCACGCATTCGGAACGCGAGGAGTTACTTTCTGGATCGTAGATCGCCAATATTGTTAAGTATACATATTGTCTAACACCAATCATATCCTTACAAAACTGCATGCACATTGGATTGTTCTAGTAAAGCAAAACACCTTTAAAGTATATAAATAAAAAAAAGTTATTTAGCATACGCCTCCACACTCGCGTAAATGAGCGAGTTTTTTTTTCAAAGTATGACATCATGTGGTGATCTTAATCAAGAACTAGCTTTAGTTCTCTAATTTGACGTGGATGACCCACCCCCATCTGGAACGTGTTTTCTTTTTATAATTAGAAAAAGGCCATTATAATTGGTTTGTCAACAACTTTAGGAAATTCGGAATCGGTTTACAGATTAACTTGGCTTATCTTTAAATGTATTAAAATTTCAATAACAAATAATTTAGAAAGTAATTTCGGTATTCCATTTATACGTATTCTATCTATCATATATTAGGTTTCTTTCATCTTCATTAAATCTGCTAAGATCAATAAGATTAAGGCCAATAAGGTCAAAAGGGAAAAAAGAGAATTAGATAAAGGATGATTATTTATAATTAGGTGCAGACTGATACTCTCTGTTATGTAGCTAGTAATTATTTTTATTAACGTCTTCCTGTATGTAGTAATTTATGGCAGAAAATGCTGAGAAGAAATTCCTAAATATAATATAAGTAATGGCATGACATATATCAGACCGCAATCCCCAATAGAAGTATCGAGTAAGCGCAATGGGCAGTATTTACTGCACTCGATAAATTGTTAACGACCAGGCCGGTCGCCATATTTCTCGGATCATACCGACTGTGCAGTGGTGCTGTGTGTAGGGCAATTATCAGAAGATGGCGTTTTTTACTCACCGATTCCATTGCAGAGAATACCGAGTGACACTTTCGCCTTCTTATTAATAGTTTTATCAGAGAGCTATTGTTATTGCTATTCATGCATCCTCTCTAGCTTTTATGGCTTCTGACAGCTTTCGAGAATACGCTACCCTAAAATGTGAGTCGTGGTGTCATTGGCGAGTTTATATCAGTTTTGTTATTATATTAGATCAATCCTCTTTTGTATTTGTTCATTACTTATGTAGTCTGCGTGCACTTCTGATATCATCATAATCATCATCACCATCATCATCATCATGATCCTCCACACTAGCCCAATGCGGATTGAAGTGTGTTAACGACTGCAAATGCAGTCTACAGTTAGCCTTCTAAAGCACGGAGTAGCTCGAGATAATAATTTTTAGGTCACCCATTTCGTGACCGACCCTTGCGAAAGTTACTTAACAACAACGATCTTTATCTACTACGCTACCGAGCTACTCATCTGATGACTCTATGATATTTCCTATTTATTCATAATCTTCGTCAGACTGTAAATGTTGCACTTTCTAGGACACAGGCCGTCCCCATGGAAAGAAATACAAAACTTTATAAAAGTTTGAGTTTGCAATACTTTTTTTCACTGTTTAACGAGAAAATAATAGACAATAACAAATGTTTTTACATAACCAAATTCCACTTACTAATCGGTTATAACTGATTAGTTACATGATAAATTTGGATAAATACAAATTTATTTAAATTCAGCAGGAAATGTAATTTATCATCTGTCACATCACAAAAAATATCACTGTAAAAATACATAATTGTCAGGAAAATTAACATTAGGTTAATTATATTATTTTAATTAAGAAATGTTGGAATGATAAGGGGCGTACCTTTATCATCACAGGATTATGTTTAGTAGGCAGTGATTTTACTGTAGAATTTATAATCAGTTCTCCGAAATTTTCTTATTTGTTTTTCGTTTTCATTTGAATTTCGTGTATTCAAACACACTATTGATAATTATTGTTTACAAAAAAAAATGTATTGAATGATTATGAAATCTTGGCGCATCCGCTGTGCTTTTGTCCCTTGAATACAGCACAATTCATGCGTGCACTGTGAATTTTAATTGTTTACCGATATCTCTGTGCTAATGTGGGATTTTAGCGGCACCGGCATATAAAAATGAGCTGTTTATCTGTTCTGTTGAAAATGCGGGTATTTATCACCCTTTTAATATTAATATTACGGTACATTAATATGTTAATTGCTAAATATTATAGATCTTTCAGTCCACAGATCCACTTTTTTGTGGTCTGTTTAGCCAATACACAAACAATAAACGCTGGAATGGTAATAAGGAATACGTTTTAAATTCATAAGTACCTTTTCTTTTCTAAAATACGGTAATCGCTTCCATAGATCTTCCATTTATGATTATTCGGTTTTATTATAATTAATTATAGAATATCCAGTTTATATTAAATGTCAACTTTGGATTTCGCCTTCCTTCTCTAAAATATTCTAAATATATTCTGAAAAATATTCTTAATACAAAATGCTTAAAAATCCACTTGGTCCCCGGCACTTTGAGATGGGATTCGAACCCACGACCTTTCGCAATGTGTTTCGTAGCGTGTTTCATTAAGTATTTAAAAACTTTACATTGGGAATTCTGATAATGTTAGCGTTTTTATGGAAAGTAAATAGTGCTTCAACTATAGCCCTTTATGTCACAGTTCTAGATACTGTCTCAAAACGATAAATATATCTGTCACCATTGATTTGGGAGGAAAACATTGTACTTATTATATCGGACTTCAGGTAGATAATTCACTGGCAAGATGCGAGTAGTTAAGACACTATTGAGATGCGATTATTACGTAAAACGGAAGCAAGGTTTTACGATCCTAGCGAGTTTATTATTCTCTAGTAAAATCTTATTATATTTGATATATCTTATTATACTTAAAGATTTTTCAAAAAATATTATTCTAATTTAAAATTATTTCTTAGTATTGGGTGCATCAGGCATGATTGCGCAAATGTAAATGGATTCTGCCAAAACCCCGAAAGGTCCCCTAGAATAATGTCCATTATGTCCGGCAATACATCACGGTTATATAAAATGTTGTACTTATTTGTTGGAAGGACTTTAGTATTGTAGCAAAGAGGTATGGTATGAATCGTAATAACAGATTGTTACAGAAGGAGCTTAAATTATTCATTATATAGATAATTTTGCATAGCAATAGTAAAAAGCCGATTTACAGTGTTTTAAGCTCTCTACTTTCTCTATGCTTTACCTAACCCACCAATTATATAAAAAAGGTGGTGTATTAACAGTGAAACAACTATTTATCTTATTATTGTTGATAACAAAAACAAACTCAACCAAGTCTAATAAATGAATAAATGAAAAAAGTTAGTAGAAGGCTACCGTATGCAAGTTCCGAGTCTTAATTTGAAACTAATCAGAAAATTCTTTATTTTCAAGGGCAAGGTTTGTAAAATAAAATAAATAGGATATTATATACTTAGAAAAAATAATAATGAATGTAAAAGACCTGTGCAAACGTGGCTAACCTTAAATTATGAAGAAACTGAAAAGATATTAGAATAATAATGTATTATGAAATTAAGAATATAGTTACTGTAACGTCCGAGCACATTACTATAGGTAGGTTAACTCTTCGGTAGGTTTATGGTCAATGCTGGTCGTTAATATTTAAAATTAATACTTTTTCGTATTCGTATTCGCGTGTTCGTGTTTTGCTGGTTGACAATCTTTCTTTCTGATCAAGACCAGCATAGAGTGAGTATCATAGTATTTTGTTATAAGTGATTCGATGTATGTTTATTGAAAATAAAATCAAGTCTGAAGAATTCTACCATAAAAAACGAGAAAACGAGAAAACGAAAAAAGAGAAAACGATAAAGCTAGAAATTATGGAGAAATACGACGGATTAAAAGGTGATGTGGCTGATTTTTTTTAATCAATTCAATATTATAGCGGCAGCAAACGGTTATCAAGAATCGACTTAAAAATCTAGTGTTGGCGGCGTATTTAGCGGGACCTGCGCTATTATTTTATAATAAGATTAAGGATAATTGTGAGACATTTCAGGAACTTAAGAAACAAATCAGCAAGGAGTTCTCGTCAACTATGAATCCTCTCGCAAGGTTCTTCGCCAGAAGACAGGGTGCAACGGAAGACCCACTTAATTATTTAGCCTATAAAGCTGGCGCAGTTATTGATGATGAATGCTTCATCCAACATTTTCTTGGGGCAGCAAATTTCCAAAGCAAGGGGCGTTTAGGATCACAATTATATTCGAATAGACAACATTTGAAAGAGGTGATCAAACAATTAAAAGAAATTTACAATAGAGGGAATAGAGAAGCAGACATTAATTTACCTATAAAATTAACAAATATTGTACATGTTCTTCCTTCCTCTAGCACACAAGGCGCATAAGGAGATCAACGACCTTCAACATCGATTCGAGCCACTAGAACCTTTAGTTCTCCATCTTTCACCCCTCATAAAATCCCACCTCCTGGTCAAATGATGCCCCGCCAGTATAATTTCAGACCAAGAAATAACACACAACAACAGCCAATGATGACTAAGAAGAATAATGAATGCCACACAAAAGCAGCAGAGGCGATAGAAGTTATAGCTGAGGACACACAGCCGCCTCACTCAAATAATATATTATACGCACGTGAGTTTCAACCATTTATTAAAGTGTCGTGTCGTGATAGATAATTTTTTTCACTCGTTGATACTGGTGCGTCATTTTCGGTCATTTTGGATCGTGCCGCGTATGTACTGCGTCACGATAATGTGCCATATGATATGTCACTACGGGCAGTAAACAATGTTAATCTTGAAGTAATCGGTAAAGTCAATTTGAAGATTATTATTGAACATGTCTTGTTAATTCATGATTTTTATGTTGTTAAAAATATTGATCGAGACATGATAATAGGACAAGATTTTCTATTGTCTTATAATGTTGTCATAGATTTTAGTAGGCATCAATTATTTGTCAAACACATTGTGTGTAAATTTTTGACAGTCTGAATTGACAAAAGAGAATAATTTTGTCGATGTCTCTAATAATGATTGAAATTCGTATAAAGAAAATGCTAAATATTTGCATAAATCACGTGTGGTAAATGCAAATAAAGATAGTCCTAATAATAATATTTCTCTTAAGTCATTAAAGGAGAACAATAATAATAATATTAAAAATTTAGTTATGGAATATAGGTCTTCTTTAAAGAGAAAAAATAAGAATTTTGTTCATAGAAAAATTCATGAACAACGTAAGATGTTTAGAAAAACATTTTTTTTAAAGGAATTTAGATCGTAATAGTCATAGTCATAATATGAAGTCATCACATAATACTAGAGATACAAATGTCAATTTTTATGTGAGGAGTATAGGTTTACCAGAATCTCATGGCATTTAAAAAAAGAAAAAAATGAGAATTTCATATTGCAACACTCATGACACCCGTCAATCATTAAGTCACTTGGTTGTCGTTCGTTGCAAAAATTTTGTAAGTGCCGTAAATATTTTGATATTTTATCAGAAAATGTCGAAAAAAACCTCTTAAATCTCAAGCGAGGAATATTGTTTTCAATGTCTACAATATAATTCGCGAGGAGGAAGGTGAAAAACAAACACAATCTTCGATTTTAAAGCGCATCGTAGCTTTGACCGGTAAGTTGAACTGAGTAGTATTGATACATTTTATATTTTTTTATAACATTTACTTATATCAAAGATGTTTTTTAAAGGAAACTAAATGATTATATATTAAATAGATTTTTTAGGTGTTTCCAGTACCACTGTACGACGAATCATATGTGAAGGCACATCAAATGATGGTGTATTTTCTACGCCCGGTAAAAAGAGAAGAGGGGCAAAGAAAATAATATATTTAGATTTGATTAGGAATAAAGTTAAAGAATTATATACAGTACGAAAAGAAATTCCAACAGTAATGAAAATTTTGCAAATTCTTCGTAATGATATTAATTTTCAAGGAGGGAGAGAATCATTAAGGTGAGGAACAATATCTGTAAAATACAAACTATGTATAATAATTAATGTATTGTCTGAATAATATAAAATATATACATAAATATCGTCATCAGCCTATTGTAGTCCACTACTGGACGTAGGCCTCCCCAGGGCATGCCCATTTAGGGGGTTTTGCCCGTAGTCACCACGCTGGGCAGGCACGCTGGGTGAGCTAATTTCGAATCGTAATATTAATTCAATATATATTAAACATACATTTTCATGTCAGATATTAGTGTTTTATTATTGTTTATTTATTGTAAAATTTCCAAGGATGTCCAAGATTGTTTAATTGTTTCATGTTCCTACTTCTTCTGCCGGATTCCCGTAAGAGCATGATGAAGTTGGCGCATATCCTGACGTCAGCAACACGGAGGGTCTACTATGAAGCATCTCGGTTGATGTCTGTCAACTTATAAGTTGACAGACACCCACTTCATATGCGCGTCGTTATTATTATTGTATCGCGCGTAGTGTTTATACATGGGCATTGCGAGGGTCGGGAAATCCAACTAGTTCCATAGGAATTGGATTTCGTCTTGTTTGATGCTGGACGTCCTTAGGCTCCATATGTCAATTTGTTGTATCAAGGCTGTCAATGATTTATCATGGATGCTTATAAGATATACACATTGTCTTTGGCCATATCCGTTTATGTTATTTTTTTGGGTTGGATATTAACTATAATTGATTCGATTTTGATTGATTTTAGCTACGGGAATATCATATGATTGTGTTTGGGTTTTGACGTCATCCAATATCAAACTTAGGGTTTTGATGATTGTAGTCATTTGGGAGACGTACAGGTGCTTTTATTGAGGTTTTGCACTTTTAGAGTCTCTGTAATGTGAAGAATTTCCTAAGAAGTCTCTGAACAATAGTGTAGTAAATTGGAATTTCATTGCAGGAGCTGGTTTATTAGTAAAAACCGCCTCCTCAAGTTCCTCAAGCAGGTAGCACTTAGGATTTAGTCTTCTGTTAAAATCTTTCGAGCGTCTTCACAGGCTCTAATAATTCTTTTTAGCCAGCCCGGGCATGTAACGTCCGAGGACATTACTATATGTAGGTTTACTCTACGGACGGTCTATAGTCAATGCTGGCCGTTAATATTTTAAATTATTACTTTTTTGTATTCGAATTCGCGTGTTCGTGTTTTACTGGTTGACAATCTTTCTTTCTGATCGACACCAGTATAGAGTGAGTATCATAGTATTTCGTTATAAGTGATCGATGTAGGTATGTTTATTGAAAATAAAATCAAGTCTGATGAATTCTACCAGCTTTTCAATGCGCCACCCATCTCCACCATTAGAATTAAGTTACTAGAGTACTGTGTGTAATATCATATTAACAACTAGGGAGACCTAGCCACACGACATACACACAAACACAAAAGTAATATTTGTAATCGTATTTAAAAATAGACTAAATAAATAGACTAAAAGATTGACGTCAGTTTTAAGGTTTTTGTTTTTTTTTGCCATTGTTATGATTGTGCAAATGGCTGTTACTCATAACAGCCATTTGCACAATCATCAACTAAAATTTTCATTAGTTTAAAGCAGTGATTCCCTAAGTGGTCCAGGTGATCCCCAGGGGTCTACGAGGTATTCAACGGGGGTCTACGTTGGCGTGAAATAAAAATTGGGGTTCAGAAGTTGTATGTAGGGTCCACGACAATTTATGATTAATCTAATATTAAAATTATCTGGTTTCGATAGTAAAGAACAAAACTATTGGCTTAGCTTTACCTACATATCAATGTGCAGTTAGGCGATAATATTGTAGGAAGGTCAACGTGTGTTACTTGTAAAAACTTGCTTTTTCAATATTCAGTACAACGCGTGTCGATACTTGCAATGCGCCGCCGCCGCCCGCCCGCACGCGATGCTTGTTCAGACGTGCACACCTACGAAATACCACTTCTGCTGTGCTTACAGTCTTGTATGAACTTGTTTAATTCTTCACCAATATAAATACGAATGCCAAAGACAAACGTTACGCATTTGTTTCCGGAATTTTGAAGAGCAAAGTGTGAGTGAATCTATGTCCGTGTTTGCCGGTCCCGGAAAAGTAAGTATCTTCCTGCCTATTTGAATGTAATAATATTTGTTATGTTTGCATGTAGTAGGTACGTATGTAATAAAAATTAAATACTGAACAGGTCCATTATTCGATTTATTTATTACTTTTTATTATACAATTATTTATTTACCTGGCTGTAGTTATTCACTAAAGGAGGGACATATGATTGACCTGCATGTTTGTAATTATATACTTATTTAATTTTTTGTACGATGATTAACTATTCTAGCTATACTGTACTATACACTTGTTTTAGGTAGGTAACTGATTCGAAACATGGCTGAATCTAAGAAGAAATGTCGGCAGTACAGTATTTATTATTTGAAATTTGGTTTTCTTCCATCAAAGGCAGATAAACGATTATTCTTAATACAAAATGCTTAAAAAATCCACTTGGTCCCTGGCCCCCTGAGATGGGAATCAAACCCACGACCTTTCGTAATCCGGGCGACTGCTCTAACCGCTGAGTTACCCAGGACCTGACAGGACTGACGAATCTTTCAAGCACTTGTTACTTTTCGCCACTACAGAGCGTATTTTCATCAACGTTCAGGCATCCACCCAAACAGCCGAAAGAAATATTGTTACAAATATTGAACTTTCGATAAAGATGAAAATTTTGTTCTAATTATTATTTTATTCTAAGTACCAAGTGGATTTTTTAAGCATTTTGTATTAAGAATAATTTTTAGTATGGCATTGAGAATGCAAAATTAATCAAAAAGATAAACGATTGCCGACATGCCTTTTATGCAACAAAGTTTTGAGCAATGACTCTATGAAACCATCGAAGCTCGAAGACCATCTAAGATGGTGTCATCCTGATAAAATAGGTAATGATTTAAAATATTTTCAAACATTGAAGGAAAAATATGAAAAGAGACACTATGTTCGCTTTAACGTCTCAAAGTAACGATGATGGATTGCGGGCATCTTACAATATCTCATTGCTTATTGCGAAATCTGGGGAACCGCACACCATCGGAGTTAATTTTACCCGCTGTTGAAGAGGTTTTAAAAACTGTTCTGCACATGCCTTCACGTGACGTACTTAAAAGAAATTCTTTAAGTAACAACACTGTACAAAGACGTATTGATGAAATAAGCTCTGATATTGAAACAAACAACTCATTTTTATATTCAACTGGACGATTTGGTAATGAAGCATTATTATTGGCATATGTTCGATTTATTATGGACGAAGAAATTCATGCTGCTATTCACGAAAACTTTAGAGACGGACACTATAGGTGAATCAATATTTAAGCTACTGGGTGATTTTTTTCAGGAAAAATCTATTCCATTTACAAACATCATTTTGGTGACAACAGATGGAGCTCCTGCCATGGTCGAACGTTATCGTGGGTTTATAAGCCATCTTCAAAGGATAATACCAGGAGTAACCGCAATACACTGTGTCATTCACCGACAACACCTGGTAGCGAAAAATTTGAGTGATAGATTGCATCAATCGCTTCAACTTGTGATTAAAGCTGTTAATAAAATAAAAATCAGTGCGTTGAATATTCGTTTATTTGCCCAATTGTGCGATGAAAATGATGAAGACTTCCGAAGTACGCTGGTTGTCGAAAGTTGCGTGTTTAACAAGGTTTTACTTATTTTTTGAATCAGTTTTAGAGTTTTTGGAAAGTAAAGATCCAGATTTAAAAGAAAACTTGATCAAATGGAAAGCAGACATTGCGTATTTGACAGATTTGTTCAAAAAATTTAATGAGATTAACTTGCAGTTACAAGGGGATAGCCTAAATTTAAACTGTTATTTCAGCTTTTTTTGGAAAATTGAAATTTATGAAGCAAAATATTATTCGGCGCGAATTCTCAGTTTCCATACTTGTCACATAGCATGTCTTGATGAAGATATTAAGACATACGTTCAACATTTAAATGCGCTGCATAATGACTTCAAAAATAGATTTGAAGAAATTTCGATGATGAAAATAACACCATGGATCATAAATCCATTTAATGAAACGGAAGTGGCGGATGTGGTATTACAAGAGGAACTACTCGAGCTCAGCACCAATGAAGAGCTGAAGGTGCAACTTAAAAAAGGCTATCAAAGATTTTGGCTGCAGGCAGAAATACCCGAAAAATATCCAGAGCTGTGGGAAATCGCGAGAAAACTTTTGATAGCGTTTCCCTCGTCATACCTTCTCGAAAAAAGTTTTAGTGTCGTTACAAACCTATTAACAAAAAAGGAGCAGATTAAACATCACAGAACGGGGAGATTTGCGGTTAATCCTTACAAAACTGAAGCCAAATATTGATAATTTGCTGTCTATCCATCAAGTACATCCATCCCATTAAAATTATGGGTATTTTTTATTATTGATTTGCATTGTTGAAGTTACGTAACGTTTTTAGTGTTTCATTTGTGTTCTATTAAGTCTGTTATCATTATTATTTCAATAAATAGATCGCAAGATAATTTACAATTTTTTATTTATTTTTACCACTCCGAATTTAGGGTTGGAACTCACTAGCGACGCCAATTTCTATCGTTAGATTTTCACATTTTGGACGAATTTTGGGAAAATGGTAAAAATGTAGCAGCAGGGGGCAATTAATTTTTTTAAAATGGTCTACGAGAAAAATATTGTTTGGGAACCTCTGATTTAAAGTGACATTACCGATACAATTTTGACATTCATTAGAGCTTAAAGCCGTCATTAAACCTAAATGGACGTTTGTGCAACTGAACGTAACTTCGTGAATTCTGCCAAAATCCTTAAAAAGTTCTGCGCTTCTAGAAAGAGTTCGGTTGGCTATGTATTGTTGGCCAACAAAAACGGAAGATTAGAATCCCCATTCCTAACCTCACCTATGAGTAACATTTTAACATAAATTATATGTAAAAAAAATAGTAAAAAGAAAATGCAATATCTATTTAATCGTTATACTATTCTGTTGTAAACTATATATATAACAACCTTCTTATTTTGATTATATATACATTTTAAACAGCACGGAAATATAGAAATAAGTTTAAGTTCTTTTTTAAATGTTACTGCCATCTTCAACATTATTGATACAGGACCGCCGCCGCTGCTGTCGTCACTCCGGTCTAAGAAGCTTATGTCTTACTTACGGCGACAATTCATACGATTATTTTATGGCCTTAATGTGGGGCCGCCATTAAATTGACCTATTCATTAACAAAATGGGCCACTTGGCCAAAGTACAACAAGAGAGTTAAATCTGGTTTCTGTTTTTTTATTTGTTAAATAACATCGATTTGATAAATTTCTTGATTTTCAATTGTATTACAAATGTAAACAATTAACAACTGCCGCAAAGTTAAATGTGTCGCCAAGTGGGTTGTTTGGGTAGTCCTAAGCAAACGTAAGTCGCTTCTTACAGACATATTTAACGTATACCTAGTCAATAAAAATGTTTGGAATACTTAATGGAATTCTTGTTTTCTCTTAGTTCGTTGGAGAGGGACGAATTCTCAGTTTGTACAGTAAATAAAAGCTTCAGAAGCTTAGTTTTTCAAGAAACGCACCTAGCAAAAGGTACTTCTGACAAAAAAGTGCAAGTTTTGTAACAGTTAACTTTAATACGTAGAAGTAACATATTATCGGCTGCAGTTGGAGCGGACATGTAAACATAAAGGTGGTTAACAAATTCAAATGTCAACTTTATCTGCTGGGGGGAGCGAGTATGCAGTAATGCATTTGTGGAAATCGCGGCCAACAGCTTAAAGTGCCTTTCGAAGCACGCAGTTGAGCTCCTGCGTGTTTCGAAAGGCACTTTATACATTTTTAGTTACCTCTCTCTCAGCACAAATACCGTGTAAATAAATATTGTCATCGGTGAATTTTGATTTTCAATTATCGACACTGAAATTATAGCACAAGACGTGAAATTAGCATTGACATTTCATAATCAAAGAAAGCATATTAATATTCAGATTGAATACAAGAGATGTCTGCAGATGAGAATATTTTACAGGGGATGTATTTGCTCTTGAATTTATGAATTCCATCAATGAATGTTACGTGCTATTTTAAATGCATTGGCTGCATTGTTTGATATCTGTTTGTTAATTAAATATTTGTTGTCTCTTTAGTTGAAGTATTACTTTGTATTTCGTACGTTGTGTGCACAATGAGTGGACGTCAGAATGGCGGGGTTTAATTTAGCATTGATTGCATAACCAACACTTACTTTCGTATCTATAGTCAAGAAAAGAGTACTTTAGAATATGTCATAACTCAAGCAGATATTGTTAGCTATTAGCAGTTCTAACTTAATTTAAATTGCTTCTCTCAACTACAGATACGTGTTAGTATGTAATTGAGAGTATTTGCTACTTAGGGCTGGAATGCTTTAAGAGTCTCGATAGGGTTTGCGGTAGTATTCTTACCGAATTCGATCGCTAACTTAAACGTAAAAAATAGCGATTGTAATTTAACAATTATTGCAAGTCTCTTTAGATAAGTACATTGTTATGCACCTAGCGAGTGCAACTGTCAAATTAGTGATATTGAACTCCGCGATCGCTACTTAATGATCGCTGATCGTTATGTAAGATCGTCGATAGTGCAGTCCTGGGTTTATATTGATTTTACGATAGAAAAATTACGTTGTGAGACTTGTGCATTTTTTTTATATTTAATGCTTTTGTCAGGGTGTTATAGTCTTTAAATTTTTCTGTTGCAGGTACGGTGCTTTGGACATTTGAAAGTTTTACAATATTTTTTAGAACTGTTTTTTTTTTATTTTGAAAATACCTGACGGTATTTTTTCGTTTATCATTTGTCTCTCATATTTAGGTGACATTTACGCGGTTAAAGTCGCGGGAAAACACCTAGTACATTATAAGACTAATAGGCTTTCCTCAAACAGCTATTCTCTACACATTAACTGTGTTAAAACACAATCACAATTAGAACGTATATAATTTATATTAGCATTGCTTGCCATAATTGTGGTCGGATTAGGAGCGGACTGATAAGTGGAGTTATATATATTGGTTGAATAACAAAACTCTTTCGTTTAACATCATAGAAGGGGACAACACGCATCGGATCATTCACATAGGAGAGTGGACTTGAATGATGAAGTCAACTCGTACAACATATTATTTCAAGCTGTACCAACAAAAAATGTACATTTTTCGGGATTTATTTATTCCCAATACTGTATATGCTTTTATGATTATGTAAGAATTGTAACTCTCTATAGAACTACAAACATCAATCATACGAAATAAATGTCGTAGTCTGCATAAATAACGAGAATAAGTTCAAGAAAATGTGCTTAATATAAAAATATATTTTACTTCTATTTATTTGACAATTTGATGGCTTTATAATCTGAGAGACAGGAACGGCACATTCTTCTTCTTCTTTTTTAATTCATGGCCTATTTGCATTTACACAATTCCGCCAATGTCACGTTTGTGGTCTTTACACGTATAGAACGGCACATTCCAAGAATGTTACAATAGCCAACAGCACGTCAAATTATACAAACCTGTCAAATTTCTAGAGTAGATTTTAAATGTTGTCAATTGCGTTCAAAATTAGAAAAAAATGTCATATTGTGGTAACTTGAAGTGCAGCGGTGTCAGAAATAGTTCGTCACTGAAAAGGACTACAGTAGTTCTTTCACATTTCTACAATCACGTCTAAATTTATAATATAATGAATCGTGAATATAATGAAGCGCTCATTCTGCCATTCATATTTTTTTATGAAAAGAATGTGGTCGTTATTTCTAATTACAATTGTCTCTGGTTAAATTATTTAGGTAAAAATACCAAGACTGAGAAACTACGGTGAGTAGCTCGGTGGCGTAGAGGATGAGCGTCGCGGCCCGCGATTGTTCTTGTTAAGCAACTTTCGCAAAGGTCGGTCACGGTATGGGCGATCAAAAAAATATTATCTCGAGGTACTCCGTGCTTCGGAAGGCACGTTAAGCCGTAGTTCTCGGTTGCATTTCCAGTCGTTAATACTCTCCAATCCGCATTGCGCCAGCGTGAAGGGTTATGGCCCATCCCCCTTAACCATCTATAAGGAAGACCTGCGCCCCTACAGTGGGGACGTAAAAGCGCTGACGATGACGACGATGATGAGAAACTACGAATACATTTAATACAAAACATGGTTAGGTTAAATTACAAACGATGAAAAATACTAGGTATTCATTGTATAAGTTAGAATTGATTTTAGCAACTTTAGCAAACTTATAAAAGTAAGTTCAAACGGCCCTTCGAAGATGTGGCCGCATGGGAAATTACCTCAGTCCAGGGAATGGGGACGCGGATAATACGTCCTTATTTTCGGGAATAGATTTATACTGCTGCTTCCTACTGCATAATAACTTTATAGAGTATCATAACAAAAGTCTGCCAAAGAATTGGTGTTGATATCGATAGAAGAACAACAAATCACATTATATGTATATCCAATCACTTTGTTAAATTATTCTCTTTGGCGTTTTTTAACCTTCTTTGTCACCAAAATCAAAATATAAACTTTGGTACATTTGGTGTTGTTCAGGGTTAGGTTAGGTTAGGTGTTTGGTAATCAGATTTTTTTAAACATCTGGTTTTTATCTTCCTAAGCTTCTGCATCACGCATCGACTCACAACGTCTGGTTAACCGCAATGATTTGTGGATTTTTATTTGTTCTCGATCCTACAACCCTGAACAATCTGGGCGACTGCTCCAATCACAGAACACAGATAAGAGGTGTTTTCTGCGTTCTGTAGTAGCAAATCCAACCCTTGAGTTACCCACATCCAACAGAACTGACAAAGTATTTAATTAATTTATCAGTATAGCATTGTGAATGCAAAATAATAAAAAAAATGTATTTTTTTTAAATATAACTAAAGAAATAAGTACGCTTCATCTGGTTCAACTGGTAGATGTTAATATGTCCATAAAATATGAGCTTATATAAAAATAGGTCATTAGAAAGTTGGACTCTGATAGATTTTCCAGTAATCTATGAATTGTAGTAGAACTATTTCTATCCGTATTTTTTATTTTAGGCCTGTGTGTTGGCGATACCTTCTTTGTCTTAGTTAATTTGGACTTTCTCAATGTATGTGATGTCACCTGTCAAGTGATATTTAAATTCACGCATTCAGCGCGTATGAAGTTTGCAAAGTTCCATAAAGTAAGTTTACTCGGGCATCCGTTGTCAGGCGTAGCCGCATGGGAAATTATTACAGTCCGGAGAGTGCGGGGCAGCGGACAATCTGTCCTTGTCTCTCGCTCTTGACGGGTGCGCACAAGTTTTATGAAATTTG